CCCCCACCGTTTCCCACACAGCACCAAGAAGCCTCCTGTCGCCCCACCTCCACGCCATCCTCATTGGTCGCCCGCCGGCATTTTCTCATCGCCATTGGCCCAAACGCACGTCCGTCACGACTGTCCGCCCCCACCGTTCCCCACGCAGCGTTGCGAAGATGCTGACCGTCTTGCCTGATCGCCGTCGCCGTTGGCTACTCACCTCCGTATTTCCCGGAACCTCTGGTTTGCCGGCACGTCCGTCAGCACCTCTACCGCCCCCGGCCGCTTCCCGCAGAGCACCTCCGAGTCAACAGCAATCCCGTTCTCTGCCCTCGCAACACCTCGGCCCTCGCCCGCCCCCTCCCCGTTGCCATTGGCCACCGCTGCCTATCCTCCCAGAGCCACTGGTCCGCCCACACGTCGATCACGGCCCCTCTAAGCCCGCCCCGCTCACCCCGTGCTTTCCTCCCTTCCCTACATGCTCACCAATCAGGAGCTTGGGACTCCAGATTGTTTGCATACGCCCCCTTCCCACAAGCGGGAGCAGGATGGTGGCCGTCCCCGGGGGTCAGGTGACGCGGCTGGGTCCCGGAGGACTTAAGCCTCTAACAAGTTGCGGTCGCTACTCCCGCAGAGACCTCAGCGAGGGCAGAGAGCCCCCCTGCAACTGTGCTCTCGGGAGCCGCCCTCCCCGCGTTGGGGCGGGGCCCGGGCGTGGCGGGACGAGTCCGGCCAATCGGCGCTCAGGGGAGGCCTGGGAGGCGGGACTTCCTCGCCTGTGGGGGTGGGGTCGCCGGAGGCGCTCAGAGCCCTCCCGCGAACTGGCGAGGGCAAGGGGCGCCGCGGCCTGGCCCGGTGGTCCTTAGGTCGCGGTGCACGACTGCGAAGGCCCAACGTTCTCGAACCTCGGCGCCTGGGAGGACGGCAGCACGGGCCCTGCCCCCAGGGTCTCGAGGCAGGAGCCGCGCCGCCCACCAGGTCGTAGCGAGTCAGGCAGGGTGGGGGTCCCAGGAGGAGAGGGGCGTGGCGGTCCGGGGCAGGACTGGAGGGCCTCCAGGAGGAAGTCAGCCCGCGGTTGTTTACAAGAAGAAAGGGTTATTTTTCGTAATGGGCAAAGAAGTATGCAGAACCTCTGAACACGTGTGAAGACGCATTTTCACTCTGCAAAATGGAAATTAAAGCAAAATAATTCCCCTTCCAGCCATCAGATTGGCAACAGCGCTTGTGGGCCAGGACGTGGGAAACAGCTCTCTTGAGGGGGTCGGACAGGCTCGTAATTTAGCCTGGAGAAGTCCTCAGAAACGAGGTTAACGAACTTCACTGCAACGTTGTAGTCATGTTGAAGGTCCAGAAACATCTAGGACCGCTGTTTGGGAGCTGTTGAATCAACCCCGTTCATGCAGTTCTACAGTGAACGAGATGAGGTGCAAACAACACTGTCGTGAGACGAGATGAGAAGAACGCAAATGACAGCATGGTCTATCCAGTGTAATTTCAATTTATGCTCTTAAAAAGCTAACAACACATTTGATTCCAGGTTTAGGTCTATGAAAGCATAATACGTCCATAGGAAGCGGTCTGGGAAGTATGACAGGATCCTTTCCTCTGGGATTGCGGATCAAGAGTGACTTTCTCTGGGCACTTGGGTAGCTCCAACTCTTGGTTTCCGCTCAGGTCATGATCTCAAGGTTTGTGATTTCGGTCCCGCGATGGGCTCTGTCCTGATGGTGCGGAGCCTCCTGGGGACTCCCATCTCCCTTTCCGCCCTGCACGTGCTTGCTCGCACTCTCTCTCTCTCTCTCTGAAAATAAACTTTAAAAAAAGTGTCTTTCTCTTCATTGATAACATTTTTATGAGAACATTATTTACACATGATGCTTAATAATGAGTAGCCCTGGGGCACCTGGGTGGCTCAGTCTGTTAAGCCTCCCACTTTGGCTCAGGTCATGATCTCACAGTTGGTGAGTACGAGCCCCTCGTCAGGCTCCCGGCTGACAGCTCAAAGCCTGGAGCCTGCTTCGGATGCTGTGCCTCCCTCTCTCTCTCTCTGCCCCTCCCCCGCTCGTTCTGTTTCTCTCAAAAATAAATAAGCATTTAAAAATTTAATGATAAAAGCACTTTTTTCGCCTTGCATAAAAATCATTGAATTGTGCTCACAGAATGGGTGAATTGTAGAATATGTAAAATATGCCTCAGTAAAACTGTTAATAATAATAAAAGAATTAGTTGCCAAAGCTGAGCCAAGCACAGCCCTTACCAGAGCAGGCACTGAGTGCTACGTGCAGCGGAGAGGCCACAGAGAGGTGGGGCTCCCTGGAAAGCACATCTGTGCAGAGGGAACAGGCATGTCCCCACAAGGGCCATCCCCCGGTGTGCTGCGCCGAGGACAGCCCAGCTGGCATGTCCACCCAGGAAGTAAGGAGCTGGTTGCAAGAACTTTCTTCCCATGAGGTCACCGAACCTAGGCCATCCCTCCAGTAGCAGGTGGTTGTCAGGCAGCCGACCCCAGCGTGAATGGCACCACACCAGTGACCCTGTCCCCAAGCTGCAGCAGCCTTTCCCGGGAAGTGTGCCACGGGCAGGCCTCTGAGCATTTTGGTGTGGTGCCCGGGGGGGCTTCCTGAGGAGCTGGTTCCTCTGCTGGATGAGTAGCACCTGGGCCTTCCTCACCTGCCTTCAGAGACTCTCCTCTGGTGCTCCTGGTCCTCTGGGGACGCACAGAGCCGGGACACTTGAGGGCAGAGACTGACTAGGGATGGGCAGGGCCACCTGGCTCGTTTGTAACCTGCAAAGGAGCCCTGACGATCCTGCTCGTGCACTTGCTCAGGCCACGCCCTCCTCCTGCGGAATGGCCCTTCCCTGGATGCTGGGTGGCAGCAGATACAGCCTCCACATTTACAGGAAGGGCACAGCCACCGGCCTCACACAATGCTACAGAAACAGCCAGGGGCAGGGTCTTGTTGGGAGGTAGGGGACCGAGTCCCCAGAGGGGCCAGGGACTGAGTGTTGGCTGGCGCAGCACAAGGGAGCTGGCAGGTGTCTGCCCACCCCTGAACCTCGAGCTGGCAGGGCAGGGAGGGTGCTTGGGGGTGACGGGACCGGCCTCTCCCGCAGCGGTCAGTGGCGGCTCTGCCCTGGCGCCGCCCGCTCCCTGCTCGGAAGTACCAAGACCCTCGTTCCGGGACTGGAAGCACTGTGGGGTTGCCACTTTCCTTCTTGGTTTCTGAGGCTGCCTGAAAGGGGCAGTGGGTGACCACCCACTATCATCCCCTCCCCAGAGATTCTATTTGTTTATTTATTTTTAAAATTTTTTCAGAGATTTTAAATCAGAAGCATCCTTCATCCCTCTAGGACTTCCCCCGAAGAGGCTCCGGTGGCTTTAGCTCCACCGCCTGCTCCCCATCACCCAGGACAAACCGAGGAATCGGGCTCCGTATGCAGGCTTTTCAACCGGGCCTCTCCCAGCACAGCCTGTAGAGCAGGTGCAACCGTCCCTGCTTTGTAGGTTGGAGGCCCGTCCGGGGGTGTGATCCTTGGGGGCAGGCTTGGGCGAACTCTCCTCAGGGGCTTCGGGCCCTCCGCTGGGTTCCTGCATTGCTCCCAGCCCCTCTGAACTCTTACCTCCCTGCCTCAGACCAAAAAGGCACCATAGGAACCCCCAGGGTCTGGGGCAGTAGGGCCCAGACAAAGGCGGGATGGGGGGACGGGGTGGCGGGCGAACTCCCTGGTGTCCGGGAGGCCTTGTGGACAGAGGCGCTGTCTCCCACGCAGATGTGTGCCCTTCTGCAAAGACGTCCTGGGGCTAAGTGCCAGCTCTCCAGACTGAGGAGGGGACAGGAAGGCATCCCTGCTGCCGAGAAGGGCCTCAGGCCAACGAACCAGTCCAGAGCAGTCCTCTGCTTCCAAGTCCTGGCTCAGCCTTGCTGAGGTACCACGCGTTAGGTGGTTAAGGGTGATTCCCGGCACCCCCCCTCTCTCGGGAGACTCAGGAAGTATCTAGTGAAGAAACCCCCCAGGCCCCCCGCAGGCCTCCACACACGGCTCCTGTCCAGGTGGGGAGTGGTCTGGGCTGTCTTTGCCTTCCCCTCCAGGATTCCCACTGCTCTCTATGCTGAACCCGAAGCTCTGCTCTCCAAGAAGGATCTGGGGTTTCCCCCTCGGGCAAACAGATCTTGGCTCCAAAGTCCTGTGCCCAGGCTCTCTGGGGGCACCCACAAAAGTTCAATTACTCTGGAACTCCCCCCAGCCCAAGGCTGGAGCCAAGGAGAGGCCCCACGAAACCCCACAGCAGGAGGAAGCCGGAAAGTCCCCGTGTGCGTCCAGCAACGACCAATGGCGCAGCCGGCGAGCCGGAGGGTGAGGAGGGTGGACACTCACGTGGTCGCAAACATCTCGGCACAAATTACTTATTAAAGAGTAAGTGGCTTTGCGGAGGAGAACCCCTGGAGACCAAGTAGACGTCACCAGGATGGACGGACGCCACGTGCCTCCCAAGGTGACACCCTGGGAAGGACACAGTCGCGTGTCCAGGGTCTTCGTGCCAAGAGCACAGGGGCTGAATCTTCTGGTCAGGATCATCAGATGAGCCCCACAGAGGGACATCCTACGGAGTAACTGTGGTGAAAGGCAGGCAGGCTGGGGGCACCGGAGGCTACAGGGCCCCGGGGAGCGGCACAGCGAGTGTGTGG